ATTATACAAATTGTACTATATATAATTAATTAGTTTTAAATGTAATTTTATTAATACAAATAATGCTTAATAAAAATTATTAATGCCTGATAATGATTTTTTGCCTGATAAACGATTTTTTGCCTGATAAATGATTTTTTGCCTGATAACGATTTATTATAGTCATCATTAATTATAAAAAATCACGGGATACCGGATAATTTTTTTTCTTGAGGTGGGTTTTGATTATGATATAATTTTTTTTTTACTTTCAGAGGATAATTAAAAATGCTTGGCGAGTCGTTGGCAGTTGCATAGCCCCTGACAAATAATGTATGATAACAGTGCAGATCGTATCCATATAAAGATGTCATTTTCTAATTTTGGATTGTTTCGTCGATCGTCGCGGTTACAATATAAAAAAGAGAAAATTTTTTTAAATAATCTTTCCGCCGTTTCTTGCGTAACAACTTTCGTTCGTTCTTTTAAGTATGCTTTTTTTTTAATATGTTTGAACTGTAGGTACGATAAATGCTTTGTTACTTTAGGCCTTCTAAATACTATTTATGCAACAGATGAACGTTGCTGCTAGTTAAGTATTTTTTTTTCTATACTATTGAAGTAGACTTATTGCGATGATTAATACGTGTGGCTGGGCCTTTAAGAGATAGATGTGTCTAGTACACTTTTGCTTTTCACCTCTTCTATTGCTTTGGATAAGAAATTTGATTTATCTATTTTCATTTGTCTCTTCGCAACAGTACGTGTAATAGAGCCATATCTCTATAGTGCCTTTATCACGTCCTCTGCACGTTAAATATCCTCTGCACGCTTATTAGCACGATATGATATTTTCAACACGATATGGCGTTGACAGTCCTCTGAGCACAAATTATTTTTATTTCGATATGTTGAAATATGTTCCCCCTTTACTAATGATGAATAATAAATTTTTCTAACAGAATCGAAAATCTGAAATCAATTAACCTAGCAATAAGATGAACGGTGTTACGATATTACAAGGACGCGCTGCTAGCTAAGTATATTTTTATACAATTGAAATAGTCTTATTGCGATGATTAATCCGTGTGTCTGGGCCTTTTAAGAGATAGATGTGTCTAGTACACTTTTGCTTTTCACCTCTTCTATTGCTTTGGCTAAGAATATCTATTTTCCTTTGTCTTTTCGCAACAGTACGTGTAATAGAGCCATATCTCTATAGTGCCTTTATCACGTCCTCTGCACGTTAATATCCTCTGCACGCTTATTAGCACGATATGATATTTTCAACACGATATGGCGTAGACAGTCCTCTGAGCACAAAATTTTTTTATTCGATATGTTGAAATGTACATCACTTTGCTAATTATGAATGCTAATATCTATTACAGTCGAGAGAAATACTGAAAAATTCTCTGTCCCCATAATGCTGAAACATATCAGATGATTTTTCGTAACATTTTTGATGGGTACGCAGTGGAAATCTCATATTTATTTAATGCAACAAATTTTTTCTGAAAATATGAGAGAATTATATATATATTTTTTTTTAATATTTTTTTTTTTATTTTCGTTTCTTTTTAAATATTTTTTTTTTTTTATTTCCTCCCCCAATTTTATTTATTATTTATTTTTGTAATTCAATTAAATCTTCAAGTCAAAATAAAGATCAAGAAGTTTAATATAAGAATTAATTTGACTTTCGTCGATTATTCTAGTTTCGACTATTATAGTTCGTCGAGTGAACATAATTGTTTATATTTGCATGGTTTGTTCAAGAAAAATCATCTCTGGAAGAATAATCCCATTTTGCAGCGTCAAATATATACGACGAAAATGATAATTTACATATTAATTTTTCCAAGTGTACAAAACTTAAGACTTTTTAATCATCGAAAAATTCAAAACTTCAGCTGAATCCGTATGATAGGATAAAAATTTATATACTAAAGCCCTCCACGCTCAACAGTATTTATTTAAAATTTTATATCTATTAATACGTAAAAAATTAAGTTTAAATATAAAAATTAAAGGGTATTACTCGGTCAACAGCCCTAGCGTCTTCCGTAAAAAATGGTAGCCGGATTTTATTTTCCGGGTCACATATACTTATTAGAGGTGACATATAATTGTGACATTTAGCATTTTTCTCAAAAAAATTGTCCCCAGAATACTTAAGAACGGATGGGTTTTACTCGATGTGACAAATTTGCTAATCCTCTTAACTAATCCTAATTATAGCCTAATCCTAATCCTAATCCAAACCCTAACTCTAACTCTAATACTAACCCTAATAATAAATACCCGGCAAATAAAATCCGGCTACCATTTTTTACGGGAGACGCTGTGATAGGTTTTATCGAGTTTGATTGGACAAAATGTTTAAACAAAGAATTGGCAATTATTATTTAACGACCCAAATCGATTTTTATTTTCGTTTCTAAAAATCTTGTATCAACTATATTTTAGAGTCTTCTAATATAATAAAGTTTTTCTTAATCTCACAATATCATCCATTTCTTTAATACAAATTTGGTGATCAAGTCCGAATATTTTTTATTCAACTAGGTTCTAAGTTGATTTAATAATTTTCCGTCTTCATTAACGATCAATGCACCTCGTACAGTTTGACTGTTGTAAGACGTTTAACGTTTTCTTCAACCTCAGATTTTAAAATTGTATTTGATGTAAACGTTAATATGCTTTATTTTGATTTTTTTTCTTACTGTAGAATCGAGAACTTGTACCGTTTATCATATAGATTTGCTTAACAAGGTCAAGAAAATACTCAACTCTGTTTTAACAATACGAAATTAGACATTTTTTTTTAGAATTTTAACAAGTTCGATCACATCAAGATTTCAAAATTTTTTTTTAATCCAAATTTTTGGTTTGTCAAATAAATTTTATCAATTTAGGGTTTTGACGTGATTTGGATATGTCCAAATGTTAAACAAGTCGAAGGTGAAACGAGATATGGTGTTGGATGGCATGGATGTAAGCTCATTAATTAACCTTTTTCCGAATAAAAAGTAAAACCATTGGTTGATGAATTTTTTAATCTATACCAATAAATAGCCCTAGATCTTTATGAAATTAATCCACACTTTGGTACCGCTATTAACCTAGAAGCTTATTAAGCTCTCGTGAGTAAGACATTGAGTAGTGCCGTATGTTTAATTTACGCATTTGCTTGTATCATTTTTTAATTTTGACATTATAATGGACCTGCCATTACCGATATTTTTTTATTTTTTTAAAAAAAAAAAAAGAAAAAGAAAATATGTTAAAAAAAAAAATTTTCATCTTCTTTATTGCTTCCATTGTAAACAGATCTTGACAAGGAAATCTCCGCAATGGCCTCTGAAATAAACAAATGGTATACGAATCGATGCAGCAAAGCACATTTTTGTGATGCGTACACTCATAATAGGGGAGGTGAGAATATTCAATCGGTGAAATAGCGGTTCTAATGCGGGATTTGTAAGATCTTATCGAGGGCAATATATAGTACTTTATGGTATCCTCTATTCCAAAATTACAACCTTTATATACTAATTCAGGTACTAAATTTTTGAAATAGAAATGATGATATAAAATCTTTTAAAGATATTAGTATATGATGTTATGGTTGTCTTTATAAAGTAAATTCATTCATTCATTTATTTTTAATTGTTGAATAAACCATTAAATTCATGATAAAGTTAATTCGTATGGATTGACCTTTGTAATGTTAATAGATGGTAAATATTCATTTATTTTACATCATCATAGATTTAGAAAGTTATTTAATATAATTTCTCAATTATTTAAGTAATCTAATATAACAAGGAACCGAACAAGACTTTTCTGGGCGGGAATCCAACGGGAAGTGATCTATTTAATCGTGAAGCATTTTGCCATCGTCTCCCTCATACAAGTTCAGCGATCATCAAACCATTCCGTAAAACATTACTTGGAGCATTCTTCTCTTCATTATCTATCAAAGCTTGATAGATGAACAAATTTATGCTTTTATTAAAGGCATTAATCTTTACCTCTCTAATTATGGTGAAAATAATCCAAATTATACAAGGAAACGGAAGATGGCCCGTTGGCGGCGTTTTAGTTCATGTTATAAGATGTGAAGAAAAGAAAAGGTTACTGTTAATGGGTCTCATTATGTACAGGTTCAAATTTACGGTGAAGGATTTAAAGATCTTGATAAATTTATTAAAATGACGTTAATAGATCTATCTGATCACTATTCACTCTCGTTTATAAAATAATAAAGACCGAATCGAAATTTATTGTGCATTGATGTCCAAATTTAGTCATATATAGCACAATATTCAACCTGAAGATGCTACGCATTTTGAAACTGGTGTATTGCAAGTATTGTATAGATTTATTTTTCACATTTAGAGAATTACATGTAAAATAAAATCGTTCTCGTATTAAATTTAAAATTTAATTTTTTTATTAATAATATAGCCGATAAATAATTTATAAATATTATTTAAATTTAAATTTAATATTTTTATAGAATGCTATGTTATTTTAATTTCTATTTTCTTATTTATTTATTGTATCGTATTAGAATTTAATATTTCTAAAACCAGGTAAATTAAAATAAAAAAACTTGACATATAAATTCTTCTTGGTGTTAAAAGTAAATATTTCTCAAAGGATTTCGAACTAATCGTTTATTTCTTTGAATTCTGTTGGTAATTTTGCATTAAACATTTAGGAATTATTGGATAAATACAGATTGAAAAGAAACAATAGAATACCTAAACTAGCAGAAGCATCTCGATAAAATTGAACATAGGATAGGCGAACTCATATTTTCACATTTGCTCAGCCTATAGTATGAACGAGAGGATAATTCTTACTATATTTGGTCTTTAAGTTCAAGGAGTGAATTCACTATCCAGCATAAACTAAGGTCATTGGTTTTTTATATATTTTCATTATTTATTGAAGAAAAGAAGAAGGAAATTATAAAAAAAAAAAAAAAAAAAAAAAAAAAAAAAAAGGATATGAGCGTAATCCTAGATGAGCCGAAGCGTACAACCAATGAAATTAGTCAAATTAATCATCAGAATGAAGGCGATACTCAATTGATTAGAAACGTCCATTACCTCTTGATAATATCAGCGTTGTTGTATTTCAACTTCTAAATTGTCAGCAAGGACATAGTCCCAAAAGAGGCTAAGCGTACGACTTTCGTTAAGCTTTACCTATATCATTAGATGAATTCAAATAGAAGTATGTAAATACATATTGAAGAAAAACAAAAGAGAAACTATCTAAAGCTAAACTAGCAGAAGCACTTCGACGCAAATTGGACATAGGACAAGCGAACCCATATTTTCTACTTGCTTTGCCAATAGTACGAAACGAGAGGATACTTCTTTCTATATTTTGGTCCTTAAGTTCAGGGAGTGAATTCACTGACCAGCAGATGTATCACTTTAACTAAGGCCATTTTCTGTTTATGTTTATTTATTTTATTTATTTTTTTTTTTTAAATGAAAAAAAGAAAAAGGAAATTATAAAAAAAAAACAAAAGGAAGAGAGCGTAGTTCTAGACTACCTATTGATAAATGTCGGCATTGTCGCTGTATTTTTCTTTTTTTTTTTATTTTTTATTTCGTTTTTTACTTTCGTTTATTTATAAATAACAATTTCGTGCGTGCTTAACGATGTTGAAGAAAAAGATTGAAATGTTTGGAAAATTGCTATATATATTGGACGTGGGAAAATGATTTCAAAAAAAAAACTTGATTGGTCGGAGTGTGACGTATCCTTTTTATAATGTGATCGGCATTAACATTTCGAGATATCGTACTTTAACAAAAAATAGCTGCTGGATTAGTTTATTACTGAGGTAATTTAGCATTAGAAAATATGTTGTTTGGGACTATTATTGTTTTCATTATAATTACTTTTTAATATTTCTTGGTTATTAAGTTTTTTTAGGAAAGTGTTGCAGATGAGGTTAGAAATGTTTCTGTTTCACCAGATTATTCTCGTCATTTACTTCGTATTAATTTGTATGTTCTTTTAGATCTCAAAATTAGATAAGATTCATCTTCTAATGGAAGACAAATTTATTTATTCTTTTCCCATCACGCATGGGTACTGTCAAGTTTCTTTTCCAACATCTAAACTGATATGTTTTGATCCTAAAAACAGGTAAATTCATTATTATCGCGAACAAGTTTTACACCTTAATAAATTTTTTTTTCTAAATAAAGGTATATATGAATATCGCTTGTCTGGTTGAAGATATTATCCAACCCATATTAAGTATACTTGCAAATCTTACACCGTACTCGATCCATAGTTGAATATTAACATTTACAATTTTATAATTATTGCTATAACATTATAAATATAAGTTTCAGTCAAACAATAATTACTTAACGACTTCATTAATATACCAATAAATTGTAATAGGTCAGTCAGACTTTGAAAATTCGTCTTGAACTTCATAATATTCTAATTTGGATATATTTCGTACACAGGTATAATTTTTCGTTTTCAATTTAATGTGCTACAACAAATTAACATTCATTTGGATCGAAAAAAGGTATGATTATTAACTATTACGCATTGTGTTAAAAAATTTGGTAACGATTGAGTTAAATTGGCGAATGGAGACCCTTAATTACGACGAAAACAACAAAGGAAGGATAGAAGATTGCATATGTTGAGAAATTCGATTAATTGGATCTCATTTTTTTTTTTTTTATTTTACCAAAATTGGTTATTTTAATACTAAATACACTTTTTAATGAAAATAACATTCGAAAAAATTTTAAAAAATATTTAAATAAAAAGCCGCGAAATAACTTTAGTATCCATGGAGTGGTTTTCAATTTCTGTCAAATTATGAATAAAATTAAGATTGGTTGCTCAATTTATTGATAATTAATAGATATACATTTGAAGAATTTCCAAATATCATTGGAGGAATCAAGTAAGAATTTTTTTTTAACCGTCTACTCGTGATTTGTGAATGAATTACTTTTATTTTTGAAAAAAAAATAAATACATACGTTTTACATGACTTATGAAGAAAGTGTCATGATGAAACATCAAAGACCTTTAGGAGATGGTGCATATTTCATCTAGTAGGCTCTTTATGCAACTGAATAAAACAGCCTTCTTAAGAAACAAGTCAAAATATTTAATAAGCTTCAATAATTGGCAAGACAAATGAATCGAGAATTACAAACAGTCCTTAATTAGGGTCTAAATTAATTGACATTATGTATTATGAAGAAGATGAAGAATATTAATTCGTATAATTTCCGCTACCACGGTACATCCTTTAACGTAATATCATTAATATTTTTGTAAATTAAGAATATGATAATAATGAAATACGTAGATTTAAACCATATCGATTGCCATTTCATCCTTTCTATCACTAGATTTTATATATAAAAGGATTCTCATTTAATTTTTAATTCTATTTATTAAATCATTGTGATGGGAAACCAATGTCGCCACCTACGTTGATTTAGAAGTAATAGATAAAGTTCAATTTCTATGTTAAGCAACCTGATGAATAAATTCAGGAGTGAAAACATAATTTGCAGTATTCTCATGGATGGATTTTCCTGATATGACAAGAGCCAAATGCTGATGGATTCTCCTGTTAAAAACAAATATATTGCCAAGAGTGAGGTATGATAAGTGGAAAACTGATTCGAATTAGAATCAGGATGTTGAAAAAATTTGTTTCGGAACTGATCTTTCCATTTGGGGAAACTGATTGATATTTCGTAACAAGATTTCATGGATATTTGGATCATTCAAATTATAAATTTCATTTGGGTCAGAATATGATAAAAGCATGTGCAAAGTCAATTAAACAACGTAATAAGATTATTAAGAAAGAAAATATCCTCTTTAGTTACACCCATAATATTAGTAAAGTTATTGCCAAAATAATCAAGATCTCGCAAGAATGTGATGAATTTCAGCGATGACGGAGGTATTACATAATGTAACCAAACGAAGGCAGAATATACTGGAAGAACATACGCTACAAGATCTAATATCATAAACAGCATATGAATATAAATAATTATTTTAAATTATATTATAAATAATTTAAATTTATAAATACCATAAATCTGTGATATACAGTACAATTTCATTTTCCTAGATAATTTGTCTAATTTCCCGTTTCTGAATGATATGAAACAATCCAAAATAATACAGATC